GCCCTCATCTGGGCCGAGTTGAACACTGCTCCCAGGAACGATATCTGTTGGCTGGGAAACAGAGAGCTCTTGGCGAAATTGACCCTGAGCCCCAGGCATTCTAAGTGGGAAGGATCTGTGTGATAGTAGCTCGTCCTCCGACTGGGCCAATATGAGTCAGTCATCGAGGTAATTCAGAACGCGGATTCCCTTCTGTCTCAGAGGGAAAAGAGCCGCGTCTATGCACTTCATAAAAGTGCAGGGAGCTAGAGACAGTCCGAATGGAAGGACTGTGTATTGATATGCCACGCTCTCGAAGGTGAATCTCAAGAATCGTCTGTGATGGAGGGCTATCTGGATGTGAAAGTACGCCTCTTTCAGGTCCAGGGAAAAGAACCAGTCCCATGGGCAAACTTGCGAGAGGATCTGTCTCAAAGTTGTCATCCTGAACGGCCGTTTCATGAGGGCGTGGTTCAGGTGTCTGAGGTCGAGGATGGGCCGTAAGCCACCATCCTTTTTGGGGACGAGGAAGAAGCAGCTGTAGAAGCCTGACTCGCTCTGATCTGGGGGAACCTTTTCTATGGTTCTTTTCGCCAGTAAATTCATCACCTCAAAGTGCAGGACATGTGCGTCCTTGCTCTGAACCAAGGTGGAAACCACACCGCGGAACCACGGGGGTCTTCAAGCGAACTGAAGTGTATAACCTCATTTTATTACCCCCAAAACCCAATCTGACACTCCGGGGATGGCCTACCAGGCTTCAGCCCGTGTGGCGAGGGGTTGGATCAATTCGGGTGGTGGTCCGCCTTGAGCCCTACACTCATGGTAAGTGGAAGAGGAAATTTGCTCTCTTTCTGAAATTGTTTGTGTTTTATTTTTCTCGCTATAACAGCGGCTGGTTGTGTGGGCGCTTTTAACACGGGCCCATTGTTCACAACGGAAGTGATCACAAACACACTGCCATTGGCACCCGGAACTGAACTGTAGCCCTCATCTGGGCCGAGTTGAACACTGCTCCCAGGAACGATATCTGTTGGCTGGGAAACAGAGAGCTCTTGGCGAAATTGACCCTGAGCCCCAGGCATTCTAAGTGGGAAGGATCTGTGTGATAGTAGCTCGTCCTCCGACTGGGCCAATATGAGTCAGTCATCGAGGTAATTCAGAACGCGGATTCCCTTCTGTCTCAGAGGGAAAAGAGCCGCGTCTATGCACTTCATAAAAGTGCAGGGAGCTAGAGACAGTCCGAATGGAAGGACTGTGTATTGATATGCCACGCTCTCGAAGGTGAATCTCAAGAATCGTCTGTGATGGAGGGCTATCTGGATGTGAAAGTACGCCTCTTTCAGGTCCAGGGAAAAGAACCAGTCCCATGGGCAAACTTGCGAGAGGATCTGTCTCAAAGTTGTCATCCTGAACGGCCGTTTCATGAGGGCGTGGTTCAGGTGTCTGAGGTCGAGGATGGGCCGTAAGCCACCATCCTTTTTGGGGACGAGGAAGAAGCAGCTGTAGAAGCCTGACTCGCTCTGATCTGGGGGAACCTTTTCTATGGTTCTTTTCGCCAGTAAATTCATCACCTCAAAGTGCAGGACATGTGCGTCCTTGCTCTGAACCAAGGTGGAAACCACACCGCGGAACCACGGGGGTCTTCAAGCGAACTGAAGTGTATAACCTCATTTTATTACCCCCAAAACCCAATCTGACACTCCGGGGATGGCCTACCAGGCTTCAGCCCGTGTGGCGAGGGGTTGGATCAGTTCGGGTGGTGGTCCGCCTTGAGCCCTACACTCATGGTAAGTGGAAGAGGAAATTTGCTCTCTTTCTGAAATTGTTTGTGTTTTATTTTTCTCGCTATAACAGCGGCTGGTTGTGTGGGCGCTTTTAACACGGGCCCATTGTTCACAACGGAAGTGATCACAAACACACTGCCATTGGCACCCGGAACTGAACGGGGTGCTTGGAGGCACAACAGAGGCTGCTTGGGGGGTGGTTCGGCCGTAGAGAGACTTGGCCCCCTCCTCTTCCTGTCCCGCAGATCAGGAGGACGCCTGAGGCATCGGGTCCAGCGCTAACTTGGGCCGGCGTCCCTGACGCTTAGGAAACAGGTAGCGTCTGGCCAAGCAGGAGGATTGATGAGGCTCAGGCTTGGGAGCCGTCTGGGCAGCAGGAGGTGCAGGCTTCGTGGGCTGCTGAGTCGGCGCTATCTTGGGACGACTAGAAGCAGCCGTAGAGCTGGAGCGTTCGGAAGGAAGTGTCGCATGGCCTGGGATGACTTCTGTGCAGCAGTGAAGCGCTCGGCGAATCCCTCAACCGCGGGTGCTACGAGGCCAGAAGGGGAGACTGGGGAATCCAGGAAGGGGACCTTGACTCTGTCAGTGTCAGCCAAAGATGGTGCTCTAACACCACTAGGCTGGCCATGGACCTTCCTATCGCCTGGGCCGTGGTCTTGGTGGCACGTAAAGCCAGGTCAGTTGCGCTGCATAGCTCTTTAAAAGCTGCGAGGTCCGGGCCTGACTCATCCATGCTCTGGAGGAGTTTGGCCTGATAGACCTGTAAGACCGCCATGGAATGAAGCGCTGAGGCCGCTTGTCCAGCAGATGAGTAGGCCCATCCAGCGAGGGCTGACGTCGTCCTGCAAGTCTTGGACGGGTGGGCGACCTTCGCCTTCCAGCCGATAGCCATGGGCGGGCAGAGATGTGCGGCCACAGACTCGTCCAGGGGAGGCATCCTGTCGTATCCCTTCTTTTCAGCGCCATCGACCATCGTGAGGGCAGAGGAAGAGGAGGCACGTAGGTGGGCCGAGTAGGGGGCACGCCACGACTTGGTGAGTTCATCATGTACTTCGGGGAAGAATGGTGAGGCTCGTTGTCGAGGGGATTGACGGCGCCCTGGCAAGAACCACTCATCCAGGAGTCTGCGAGCGGGCTTCTCTGGTGGAGACCACTCCAATCCCAGCTCCTCTACAGCCTTTGACAGGATGCGGATAAGTTTGGTGTCCATGCCTGGCTTGGGCTCGCTGTGCTCCGTAGGCAGCAGGGGGGCGGGGCCGTTGATCGAGACCGACAGCTCCTCTGCGTCAGAGGCCGCCAACGACATGCTGTCGTCAAGCGTGTCACGCTCCCCCCAAACGAGACCAGATTGCTCACAGCCATGGAGGGATGCTGGTCTGGCTGGGAGAAGAGGGCGGGGGAAGCCTCTCTGTGAGGAGAGAGTGGGGCACGCGGGGGCGGGGGCCAGCGTGAGCTCGCTTGTCTCCGGGCGCCGAGGTTCTCTGCCCCACTGTTTTTTTCCTTGCAGGCTCCCGGGAGGAAGAAAACGGAAGGGCGCAAGGGGCGGGGTCGCTTTCTGCAAAGAAAGCTGCCCGTGAGCGCAGAGAGGAGAGACTCATATCCTCGCAGTGAGTTCATTCCGTCTCTTTGAGTGCATTCTCAGCTTGGGATTTCCCCAAGCATGAGATGCACTCGCCATGTCCATCAGCGGCGTGCAGGAGCAAGCCAGGCATGGACACCAAACTTATCCGCATCCTGTAAATTTGCTCTTTTATAGCTCTTTTAGAAATTGCCGGATGGCGGCAGGGGATCCGGAAGACCGCCGCTGCTATGGGCACTGAAGGCGGCTGTGAGAAGCGACGAACCAGCCGAGCAAAGAGAGTCTTGATCTGCTGCGTGACGTTTCAACAGCGAAGCTTCAAGTCTCGTAGTGTCAGTGAAGATCGCCGTCATTGCTGAAGGAGAAGAAATCTGAGGATCCTATGGCAACAGGCCCGCATATATAGCCAGATGGCCCCGCCCATTCTGGCGGGCTCTGGTGGGTTTCATCGCCATAGGCTTGTGCAGCTCCGCTGCCGAGCCATTGGTTCGATTTTTATATCACTGCACAAACCAATGGCTGTGCAGTTACACTGCGTGATAACTGACGCGTGATTTACTGCGTCATCGGAGAAAAAGGAGTTTTCCCCCTTAGCGATGCAGTACGAGTGAAGTATCGACAGGGAATTTTTTTGTTATTATTTTCATCCCTTAGTCGGGGTGAGGAATTGCACCTGATCACAATCAGCATTATGTTAGTATGACTGAGATACTATTAGTTTTATTAATATTTTGAATTCATTTTATTTTTTTAATATAAATACAGTTTTTAATTTAGTTTTAGTTATTTTAGCAGGTCAAGTTAAAATGTTGCTGAAATAACTAGCTGAAATAAAATAAGTTTATATTTTATTTCATTTCAGTTTTTGTTGATTTCAAGCAACAAAATGTTTTTATGGGTTTAGTTATATTATAACTCACATTTTTAGAGTTATTTGTTTATTTATTTATTTAGTAATGGGTTATAAAAAGATATACAATTGCAGTTGTTTGATAAGATTTGGCCATTTTTATGCCTTGTTCTTTGTTAAACACCATTATACAGTATAGAGACACAAGTTGTGTTTATGTAGTCCAATCAGATTATTAGCCCAGTTCAATAAATAAATAAAAAAGGATGAATGAATGAATGAATGAATAGCCACATCATACTTTTTACACTACCATGTGGTGGTACAAATATGGTGGGTAAATTACACATTTCACCGGTAGGGCTCTCATATTTGTGAGTCATGACACAATGAAGAATCATGATTCTAGTCTAATGACAGTTTTTACACTCTCAGAAAAAAAAAGGTACAAAAGCTGCCACTGGGGCAGTACCTTTTAAAAGATACCATCCAAGTGATAGATTTTGTACCTTTTCTTCTGAGATAGGAAACTTTACAGGAAAATAAAAATGTGAATTCAAATAACTGCAATCGCAATGTTACTTAATTTTATATTGTAAATAACAGTAAATTAGTCACTCTCAGAAAAAAAAGGTACAAAAGCTGCCACTGGGGCAGTACCTTTTAAAAGATACCATCCAAGTGATAGCTTTCGTACCTTTTCTTCTGAGATAGGAAACTTTACAGGAAAATAAAAATGTGAATTCAAATAACTGCAATCGCAATGTTACTTAATTTTATATTGTAAATAACAGTAAATTAGTACCTTTCCTGGTGAATTCACATCTGAGTCATTTTGCCTGAACTTCTCCTGCAGAGTCTCAGCCAGCTGACACAACAGGAAACCGTTATCTAACCTGTCCATGAAGCTCTCAGCTGTGATTTCCACACCTGATGGAAAAGATGACAGAAAGAGATGAATATCCCACAAAAGACTTTGGTTTGATTGTGCTTCCTTGTACTTATCTTATTTTTATAACTCTGATCAGTGCATTACTGAATTGCAGTGTAATGAGCTTTTCAGCATCTGGGAATTAATCTGTATTCTCAAATCAGGATTATGCAAATTTAGAATTCACGAATGAGCTCCCTCTGAATTCATAACATTCATTCAATATCAATATTCATGAACATTATTTTATCCATAAATTAAGTGAAATACAATATTGAGTGAAATAGAAATAAAGAAGAATCTAAGAAATACAATTCTAATAAAGAGAAATACAATTATATTTAAAATATATATAAAAACTAATTTATATAGGTAACATTTTAAATATTACTATTATCTCATGATTCTAGAAATGCTCCATATAATATGATAACATATAGGATTCATATTAAAACATGAAATTCCCAAATGAATATTATCAATAAAAACTATGCTTATGGAATATGTAATTTTACAGAATATGTCACTTTAATTTAATCTAAATTCAAATTTTGAAATAAAAACCTGCACCAACTTAAAACCAAATTCAATTAATATTCAGAGATTTTAAAGACATTCTCAAATCACACACTTAATGACGCACAACCCTGGGACAAATCCAGACATTTGTTGCAGCTATGATTCACAGATAAACACATTTCAGTCCCAAAAGCAGACAAGTGCTTTGGAAGGAAGCAGCTGATTTATTTTGCAACAGTATTCCAGATGAAACACACACACAGAGACACAGACTCAGTTCTACACAGATCAACATGTGGCGGCTGCATTCTACTGACTTCCAGACGATCATTCTTTCTACATGATGTCACTGTGAAACAGGAGGTGGTGGCAGGGGGTTGGGGTATCTGTGGAAAGAGCATATTTTCTCATCCACTATACTTTTTTTTTCTCATAGAGAGGAGGCGTCAGTAGTCGAGGGGGTTCAGATGTTTTAATGAGTTCCAAATGTGGTAATTGAACCCAGTGGAGAGGAGACAGAGAGCTTGTGAAATTCTCTCTGAACGTATTCCCTCACAAACAATATCTTACCCTCGCTCACCCTTCAAAGAACCTAAACCTACACCACCTATCCCATACTCTGAATCTAAGAAATGTAAGTAATACATATTGAGAGTGAACAGACTACGTTGATATTACTCAGTGGTCCTAGCAAAATTAAAGAGGTCATGATTTTTTTTTTATGTTTCTTGAGGTTCACTTATAATGTTAAAGTTTTTTGATCAAAAATATATTCACAAAAATCTCCTTAAAGGTTTGTCAGTAAATGGAAGCTTTTATGTTTGGCTAACGCATCATCATATTGCACATGTGTAAGTGTTTTAAACATTAACATTATCTATATAAAACTGTCATTTCTCCGACGCAATCCAAAATTAAAGTTGTTCCACTTGTTCCCCAACACTCTGGTCTTTCTGAAGTCTGTACAAAGACACAAACATGCTGTTTAAACCAGAGCTAACAGTCATTACTTTTCAATTTGTCCTGTTGTCGGGAGTAGCTCAAGTGTTTGGAGAAACTGAACGGGTAGCTGTATACTGTATCTAGTGTAGACAGTGTCCATCATTATAATGGGTTCTATTTGCATTTAGCACAGCATGACGCAATGCTCAAGTCTGGTGTAGACTTATCAGCCGAGTGAATGGCAGTGGGCGGGGCCTATGGTGCGTTGATGTGAACCTATTCATCGGTCTTGCTCCAGAGGCGGTCATATGCAAATATATTTGCCTTTGTGACATCACAAATCCCTCAATATAAGTTTATTTTTGGAGACTGGTTATATAGACTGCTTTTGAAAGATTTTTTATGTTTTTAAAGAAGTTTCTTATGCTCATCTTTACATTTATTTCATTTATTTGATCAAAAATACAGTAATATTATTGTGAAATATTATTGCAATTTAAAATAAAGGTTTTCTATTTTAATTTATTCCTGTGATCAAAGCTGAATTTTCATCAGCATCATTACGCCAGTCTTCAGTGTCACAGGATGCTTCTGAAATCAATATAATATGCTTATATATTAATATTGTTGGAAACGGTTTTTGCTGCTTAATTTTTTTATGTTTTTGAAACTGTGACTCATTTCTCAGGATTCTCTGATGAATAAAAAGCTAAAAAGAACAGCATTTATTCAAAAGAAATCGTTTGTAACAATATACACTACCTTTCAAAACGTTTGGGGTCAGTACTTTATTTTTTTGAAAGAAATTAATAATTTAATTCAGCAAGGATGTGTTAAATTGAAGAAAAAAAAAGTTATAGTAAAGACTTATATTGTTATCAAAGAATTCTATTTTGAATAAAGATTATGATTTAATGGTACAAAGGATATGTCAAAAGATCAAGGAAAAATGTATTTACTGTATCATGGTGGTGCTTGGGCGCCCATGAAAAACTGAACAATGGTGGTGTGTTGCATGGCTAGTGAATGGTTCTGAATGTTTATTAAAACATAGTTTTAACATAAACATATGTTTTCAGGGCTGTTCTATATTCATCATGACCATCTAAGTTATGCTGCTGGCCATTTCTTTTCTATCTTGACAAAAGTCATTCAAGTCCTATCTACTTAAATGTAAATTTTCTAAAGTGTTTGTTAAGATTCATTTCAATAACATCACCAATAAAATTGGTCAACAATTATACAATGAATTATGCTTCTTTAGCTCCAAAAACCGCTAATAAATAAAAAGTGTAACAACAATTATTCAAAACACAAATAAGCAAAGATAAATATAATAGAAAGCCACAAAATGTCAGTGTTTCATGTATACAAGTGGCTTCTGGTAAGACCAGCAAACGGTCAAATTGTGTTCCTGTAACACAGATCAGTTTCAGAGATCTGAACAGCTATTTGTCTAAAAAAAACAACACAGAGACAGGGCTTAAGCCACTAAAGAGTATGGACGATCTGGATAGGGAACTAGTGGTTGGTGAGTGGTTGAATATGAAGCCCCTATGCGGCCCACTGCGGCTCCTGGCTTCCTTTTGCTCCAGGCAGACCAAAGACAAAGCCCTGGTTTCAGCTGGCTGCTCATGGCCTGAGTGCTGCCAGAAATTCCACAGACATCCCCCTCCATCTGCACACACACAGAACCGAAGCCAGGGCCACGACACACCACCATTCTTCTCTCTTCATAATTTGTCTCCTGGTTCAAATGGTGAGTGGCATTCAGAATCTGATTAATGCTGGGAAATGTTGGAAAAGAAAACATGGACACGTGCAATCATGCCTGTGCACGCACATTCATCAAAGAAAAAAACACCTTCATCAAATGACTTGAAATTAAAACATTAAAGAAATGTATGACACAGTAAGGACTGCACATTTTTAAGAACTTAAATTTATCAATATCAGCTTAAATTAAATAAAGGAAATTATAATATACAAAAGATAAACAAAGCAAAGCTGGACGTGCCCTAAGCAACCTATGCAAATAATGAAACATGAATTTAAACATTTCCTCTCCACCATGAACAGAATACACCAGCAGAATGAAGAAGACCTCAGGACATAGCCTTGTTGCACACCTCATGTATGAGTCAACCATATGAAAATGTACACAAGAAAATCCACAGATTTCATTATTTATTGAATTTTTACTAAAATATAGAGCCTTTGCAGTTGCAAATCACAACTGGATACACTGTAAATAGAAAAAAAAAGTCCATATGTTACTGTACTTTAAGGACCTGTTTCTCTCGATTAAAATTACTTTTGTTGACCTTTTGTTAACCTAACCCAGGGGTAGGCAAGTTCGGTCCTAGAGAGCCGCAGTCCTGCAGAGTTCAGCTCCAACCCTGAAAAAAAAAACTCACCTGCCTATAGCCTTAGTAATCCTGAAGACATTGATTAGCTTATTCAGGTGTGTCTGATTAGGGTTGTAGCTGAACTCTGCAGGACTGCGGCTCTCTAGGACCGAACTTGCCTACCCCTGACCTAACCTATCAAGTTGTTTCAGTCAAATAAATAATAACTTTGATGTGAATAAAACCAGTTAATTTAGATATTACCACATGAAGTAAATGACTTTAAGTTACCTAACAAGCATTGTTTTGGATGCATTATTAAATATTTAAATACCTTTTTTTTTTTGTATCTTTCTTTCTCAGTTTCACTATTTCAATTTCATAAAACAGCTTAGCACACACTAGTAATTTACTACCAACCTACAGTATATGGTATTAGCATTAGCCATATAGAGTGGGGGAACTATGACGTCAGAATCCGGAAGTGTAATTTGCCGCGGGTTCCTTTGAGATTTTCCTATGGGGTTTTATAATGGGGTTTTTCAATTAATTAGTAAAATAAATCCTGTGGTAAACATAACTTGACGATACTTTTATGTTTTGTTCTACAACGTAAATTACACGCATCCATACCCAAAACACAAATTTTGAAGCAGTTATGTTCATTTTTGAAAAAAAGTTTGTTTTTAATAAGTAACTAGATAAGAACGTTTGGGCTGTGAGTGTGTGCAGTTTACATTGTAGAACAAAACGTAAAAGTATCATCAAGTTATGTTTACCACAGGCTTTATTTTACTCATTAATTGAAAAAAACCCATTATAAAACCGTATAGGAAAATCTTGAAGGAACCTGCGGCGAATTACACTTCTGGATTCTGACATCCCCCACTCTATTACTAAGTGACAGATGAATTTGGGAAAAATACAGTTTAATTTGATTTGTCAGCAACAAAAGACTTTTGAGGCATTTTCCTATTCTTATTAAATGTTAATAAGCATATCTGCTTTGCTGTTCTACAGTATTTTTTTTTCCACACTTAACTCAGAATTGATACGTTTTTGTTGTGATTTAACAGAGAATCACTAATATGAAAAATACAGGAATTGCTAAGGCACTGAAGCAGGAACAGCTTGACTTACCCAGCATGCTAGAGAGCCAGAGCGCCAGGTCTTCCTTCATGGGCAGCAAACTGGCCTCATGTCTACTGGCCAGCCACTGACTGTACTGCTGCAGATCTGTGAGGCCCGGACCAGCCGGCTGCTGCTTTCCACTCAGAGGACTGAACATGCTTCTGAAAACAAAGAGGAATATCTACATCAGTACAACTAAATAACATTAACTCAATCATTCGGCTTTGACCAAATCCCTCAAATGAATTATTTCACTTTCCCACAGAGCACAGACGTCATCTGATCATTCAAGCCCTTTCTGTTGTTTCACAGTAGACTCTTATCCTCTATACCGATCTTCTCATCACAGTCCAGCTCCAGGCTCTATCTTCTCTGTCCTGTGATATAATACTCACTCGCTTTTTTTAAGACAGAACAGACACACACTGTGTGGCTTCTCTCCAGTCCTGCCCTAGTGCGATTCTTTTCTGACCCAAAGGCTCTTTACACAAATGAACATGCTCTCCCCAATGAAACATCAGAATCAGTTGCAATTTCACAATTAGATAATTCAGATTACATTTTCTGAAGAAAATGTGTTTTAGAAAATGTGAGGCCCTCCAGGACCGAGTTTGGGCAGCCCTGCTCTATACCGATCTTCTCATCACAGTCCAGCTCCGGACTCCAGCTTTTGGAGCTCCAGCTTTTGACTCTATCTTCTCTGTCCTGTGATATCATATTCACTCGCTTTTTTTTTTAAAGACAGGACACACACTGTGATTCTTCTCTGACCCAAAAGCTCTTTACACAAATGAACATGCTCCCAATGAAACATCAGAATTAGTTGCAATGCATTAGATATAATTTTGTCACATTCAAAAAATCCAAGCATTTAGTAGAATTGTCATCTGTCTTGTTTGGTGTTTTACTAAAAACAACAGTCTTTAAGATTAGGACTTCATCTGCAAAGAGGAATAGTGGGTGAAAACTGAAAGTGAGAATACTAAGAAGGATTGTGACCAAACAACACAGAACTACTGCAGCAAAAGTGACAGCAAACCTCAATATTCACCTTAAAGACCCTGTTTCCACAAACACAGAGAACTTCACAAAGCCAGCATCCATGAAAGAACTGAGAACACCAATGCTAAAATGTGAAAGAAAATGGTGTCATGATCATAAAACCTGGGCAGTTGGAGCACCAAGGTGAACTTCAACATCTGCGCTGGCCAGACAAATCACCTGACAATCACCTTTGCTATATATAGCAAAACTTTGAAACATCGGTTTTACAAACGATGCAGGAGTTACACACACACCAATGTTTAGTATGGTTATCAGGTTGTCCAGTTCAACAAATCCACAAATTTGTCTCTTTATAAAAGTATTTCCTGTTTGTCTGAGGCAGTTATATTTCTCTGTAACAACCTGATGCTATTTGCAGAAGAATGTGTACGGATCCAGTTGAATGTTTCAGTGCTCTGCGTAAACTCTGACGAAGGCAGTGTAAGAATTCTCATGTAATTCTAGTGAATCCTGCTGATCAGACGAGTTAATCTGGTTCTTCTGAATGTATAACATCTTTCAGAAAAATTTGTTACTTCATATCATTGCTGTTTGAAGTTTTGTTCAAGAGTTAGGATGTGTTAAATGTGGTGGCAGTGGTTTGGGTGTAGTACAAATGCAGAAATGCGGTGATAATATGTGATGCCAGCCAGCATTGCGGGGGATTTCGCCATACTCATAATTCATGGGAGAAACAAGAGGAAAGTTATGAGTTCTGAGAAGTGTAACAATCTTCAGCGATGCAGAACAGGACCTCTTCCTAAGTTTTGCTCTCCTGTATCCCACTAAGCAACCTGGGAATGAGGACTCGGGTCCAACAATCGTCACTTTGTTGCGGTGGGCTCTGAATGGCTGGCAGGCGAAGGCGAACTGAAAGTCAATCTGTAGATTTTCCTTTTTCCACAAAACAGAATGCCAGAGTTCACTTTACCTGCCAAACGTCTATCAGATAAAGGCAAATCTCCTCTTTCTTTTTCTTTCTGAAAGAGCTCCTGTGCTGGAAAAGGTTGAGAGAAAAAGAAACCAGAGAAATAAAAGAGGTGTTACTGACTCTCTAAACAATAAAAAGAGGACATACTGTCTCATATGGACAAAGGCAAGGTGAACAGCAGTCCACTAATCATATCAGAGCTGTCTGTCTGCTCTTAATATTTCCCAGACTGCTTCGGAGATGAGTGAGAAAGCTGATACCACGTGAGACTGACCCTATTAGTGGTGCCTGCATCTTTATTATTTTTCTAAGCAAACAGATCTGGCAGACAATAAAATGGATGAGATAAATTCAGTACAGTAACATCGAAGGAGGGAGCCAAGAAATATCTAGAGACCAGAATATCACAGAAACTTAAGAGTGGGCTATTTTAACTTAGTGAGCAACCACCAAGAAACCTCCCAGAACCTCCAAACAAAACCTACAGAACACTCTAGCCCTAGAAAACATCCTGCATGCTCAGAACATTTTTTTTTTTATGAAAGTTGATTCTGGGGCGGTACCCCATAGAAAAGGTACTAATATGTACCATTTAAGTACTAGTATGTATACTAAGGGTACTTATATGTAGCCTTAAGGTGTAAATAAGGTACAAAGGTACAACTTATAATTTCTGACTTTTAATTTATTTATTTTTTAACATAAAAATGTTAGTAATAGAACCATTTTTACTATAATAAAGAAAAAAATCCTCATTAAAATAACAGAATTCTTGTTTGCAGTTTGGCATAATCTTAGAAAAACTATTTTTCCCTAAAAATTTCTAACAAATAAAAAAAAAAAATGTATATATTTTGAGTCAAATATATGAATAATATTTTTCTGATATTTATAAGGAATGGTTAGTAAAATGTCTCCTTAAAACATAATATTTAATAATTAATAATGAAAATATTTACTTGTAAAAAATATTATTATAAATTATTAGATGCAGAGGATAAGCAGTTTGAATAATAGATGGATTAAAAATATTTATTTATTTTTATTAAAATCATATCTAACAAACATGTATGTCTAAGAAGTTGGCACATGTGATTTAAAATGGATTTTTAAAAGATGTTTCTTTTCTTTATCATGATCTGTCCTATTGCCACTGACCATTAACTCAGAACACTGTACTGATACTGTGGCATCTGGTTTGATGGACAAATACCACTCAGACTTTCTACCAAGTGGCTTAAAATAAATAAATCTACACATCTGCATGATGGAGCATGGACTGGAAACTGATGCTCGGCAAACACAAACCCGCAGAGTTCACAGATGGAGAGGACATTTACAGTGCATTCAACACCACACACATATTGGGCACATATGGTTGAAACCAAAGGGCAGTGTACAGTGTGTGACACGGTCAAACCTTTAGCTGTGACTATTATATTAAGCAACATCATATTCTTTCACAGTCTATATTTTTCTAGCAAACATTTGCGACAGTGGAGTGATACTGTATAAAGGCAATAGGTGTTTCCCATACGTTGCGTGTATTTCCCATCCATAAACCATAAACGTTGACCTTGACTAATGCAGAAATTATAACTGATAATACTTCAGCTTGCATATCTGATTCTGTTGCAGTTATTTCAGCCTCAATGCTGTGTCATGTTCAACAAGCACAGAACACACATTGTATTCTGTCCTTAAAGCACTGTGAAAGGTAAATCACACAAACAGGACTTACAAAGTGTCAATGCAGTCATCATCTACATCTTTATACAAAATATATCACATTAGCGAAATACAACATGAGTTTTGTCATTTTGCATGCAAGTTCGGTTCAAAGTATATTTCCTTTCCTAGTTAAGCGAAGATTTAGTCTAGTTACTTGCACAATCCAGTTACTTCATTTTTCATATGTCACACTGGCTTTAATCATGTTTACAGGCTATTACACACTTTAACTGTTAGTTTTAAATGCACAATAACCCATTTTACTGAGGCAGAGCGCTCACATGAGAGAAAAACTCAAATACCTTCTGCAGCCTAATGGCAAAAAAACAAAAACAAAAAACTGAGGAGAAAAACTTTTATTTTCTGTTTTCAAGTGGGCATGCTTGACATTTTATGACACACATATATATATATATATATATATATATATATATATATATATATAGTACCTATCTTATTTTATTAAGATATCTAACTATCCAAGCAAAAACATTTTCTTTCCCAGAAGTATACACTTACCCTCCACAATGCACTGCCTGCAGTTGGTTCTTCAACAGTAGACGCTCGTTTCCAATGAATTCATGCTTTTCTCGCGCACGGGCTCCTCAGACTGTTGTTCACCGTGACACTGAGCCTCAAAGATCCGACTGTCATTGCGGGTCTCAGTTCAAAGTGCGCTCCTGCGACAGACACATTGCGCGATCTCACCGCCTCCCTGAGAGACGCGACGCGTCTTTATCTGCGCGACTGTGAGCCACACGGAGCTGCACGAGACCAGACGATTAAAACGAGCCTCGTAGAGAAAAGATTCTTAACTGACCGGGGAAAAAAATCAAGTGTAATAAAAACGTCAACAGAAAAAATATTCATAATTCATAGTAGAGATAAAAAGTACAAAAAAAAAAGGTAAAATAGGCTACAAAACTTGATTTCACTAAAAAGCACTTTCATTTGTAAAATGAGACTCTATTATACGTTTCAACATGCGTTGGAATAAGCTATTTCGATCAAAGTATTGCTATAGCTCGTTTTGCGTAAAAAATAATAATAATAACAATAATAATGTAACTAAACTTGGGTTAAAGGCAAATTTTACTTTTATTTTGAAATACTGCCACGGAAGTTCGGTGCCGCGAAAAAAAAAGTGACGTCATGAACGCTCTCAGCCAATAGCGAGTCGAGAACGAGGCACGCGGACAGAATCCGAAGTTGATTCCGTGCGCTTGTTGATTTTGTTTATGTATTGTTTAGTTAAATACGGCGAAGAGAGCGTCTAATGGAGGCTGTGCTGAGACAGCTGACCAACATCCTGGAGTTACTGGCCGTGTCTCAGACGGACCGCGTGAGGGAATGGGACCGTCACACCGCGCTCCGGGCGTTTCAGTGGGCTGAGTACTGCGAGCAGCTGCACTCCCGCGTCCAGTGCAACCCTGCGGTCCGCTCCGCGCTGGAGTCCGGTCTGAGCGACACCAACCAGCGCCTGCAGCAAGCTCTGCCGTCGTACTCTCCAGTCATGTTCTCTGAACTGGCTCAGTGTCAGCACATGCTGCTCATTCATTTACTCAGAAACCCTTCCGCGCCGAACTCCGTTATCCGAATGCTTTTTGCTGAACAGGAATCCCCGTTTGATCAGAACAGCCTCATTAGGTGTAAATCAGCTTTTAATCTGTTGTGCCGCACGCCGGACAGGACTAGTTATGCTGGGTTACAGGTTGAAGCAGTGGTCAGAGGCACACTGCTCGGGAAGCTCTTGAGCTCTGTACTGAGTCGCTCTGGTAATGATGCGTATGCGAGAACACTGCTGGATTCCATCCTTCATGACAGCGCGGGAAACCCGGAAAGCCTTCATGACGTCATAGCAGCTGCGCTCCTTTCACCTGATGACGAAACGAGCTCCGTCGTTCAGCGCCGTGTCCTCGCCTGGCTGCAGGAGCACGAGGGATGTTTGAGGAAACTCTGCCAATCTCTCTCCCCCGGGCTTTGTACCGTCATCTCCCGACAGTCTAGCGAGTTTAAACAGGCATATTGGGGTGTTTTGAAACAGTGGGCGTCCTGCTTGGAGTTTGACGTCTTGGAGAGTCTATGGGTGCCGACATCAGATGAGCCTGTCACCTTTATAATACTGACTGATCGATTCAAAGATTTATTCAATTCAGGGCCACCATTAAAAGAGGAGACAGAAACTGAACTCAAAACACTCAAACGGGAAGCTGGAGACTTTAATGTAAAAGGCATTTGTATATGGAGTGATCTAATCATTCAGCTAAAGCTGTAAATACATCAGAACGAAAGTTAATGCAAGCATATTAGTTATTTCATTTGATGTTAATTTAACTAATGAACATATGCTGTGTTTGAGGATAGACGTGTGTGCATTTTTTCCACACGTTTTATAATTATAAAATTATATATTTTTTTTGTTGTTGTTTGTTTTGTCGATTTTTTGTTTTGTAATAATTTTATTGTTGTTTTTATGATAAGAGCCATCATAATATAAATTTTATTTCTCCGTATATTTTGCTGTTTTTCATAATTGTAATTTCTGAACATGATTTTGTTCCTCAGAATTGGGAAAAACACAGAAGGAAAAACAACCCTCTGCTTCAGTCTCCCGGCAGACAGGGGGCGACAGTGCTCTTTACACCATCAGCCGTGTGCTTTATTTGAGGGCTGGGCTACTTGTGGTATTTTATTTACAGCTGAATAATTAATAAAGTTCTTAAACAGTGTTACTGTTATCATGTTTGAAGTTTCTGTGTATCCTGGGGAACTATTTCATTCGAGTACATCAGTGATGTTCTGTCTATGGATAATGGATAATACCGAAACAGTCTTCCTCAGTCATAGGAAGCCTAAAATATCAGGAAATTTAGTTTAAAAAGATAATTAAAAAAAACAGCAGTTGTCCAATACAATGCACAGTAGGCTTATTCTGTATTGTAAAATAAAAAAAATAGACTCCTTCATTAATGAGAACTGCTGCTGGGCTGCACTGAATAGGCTGCATGACAGATGGTGGCATCACTGTCACCTTGGCAACCGTTGGCATTAAGCACTGGATTTCATTTGAACTAGAAGGAAGAGGCCAGGCAGCAAACGTGTGCGCCTCTTAAATTGGTCCCCGGGGACACGCAGACGCGTGCTTCGTGGGCTGGGTTTCATATGTCTGTCACATTAAGGAGGAGGAGAAAGAGATCAGGAATCTGCATGGGCTGGGGTCACTCCACGTTCAGTGATTTATGAGGTCACTTGAGGTTGTCGAAACCCTCATTGAAGCCTCACTGCTTATGACTTCATCTGAAATCTCAACAGCATCGTGCTGTTCAGTGATGCTTTAAAATAGGACCCCATTTCCTTTTCCAACAGGCCCTGTGCTCTTAATAAACACAGAATCAGTCGGTCTAATGTCTAAATGGCTTTTACATCCTGTGACAAGCAGTCTTTATGAAGAATTCATATCTCATCAGTTACAAGTTTTAGGTTGTTTTGGGGCCTGAAATGGTTCCAGTATTGATATAAATCTGTTTTCTCTATATTGTTTAAGGATGTGTTATGTTTTGACTAACATGTACACTTAAAATACACAAGTTGTGGCAGCTAATATGTAAATGGCGTTTAAGGAAAGATTTTGAAAGGTTAGGCTAAACATTTTTAATTAGTGAGCAAAAACCAAAAAGTGCTGTTATCCCCGCTCTCAACAGAAACTGCAGACACTTCAAAGTAGTTTCTCTCTGTTCTGATGCTCGAGAGATGCTGTGCGTTCTCCGACAGCAGACAAATAGATCTTCATTTTTGTTCTCGTCCCTGTCTCCTTGGAAACAAAGAAAATGCATTTTCTCAGCTCTAATATGTACTGAGAAAGCAGCAGGGCAATGCTGAGAAAACAACCGTTTCCACAGTGAATAATCACAGGCCAGATTTCCTCCCTAATGCAGCAATTCATTATGGACTTCTTTTTGAAATGGGGGGAAAAATATTGATGTCATTATTCAGCCATAATACAGATATTTCCCCATCTCTCATTTGTGGAGAGTCGTTCTGCAGGAATGTCTTTGAAGTATGATGCAAATTAATTACTCGTACACTCGTTATTTTATTCAACTTCTCATGATTGTGCTCATCCCCCATGCATTTAAATTTAACATACACATAATTACAATATTACATTTAAAGACCCCAAATGTTTGATGAGTGCTATGTTATATTGAAGCTAAAATTTTGGACTGGGCGTATCGACAGGGCAAATGGTTTTTGGTTTTATGTAACAGCCACGAACCATGATTTATAGTGTAGTGCAAGATGTTGTCATTATTATTTGTTAGAAAGACTGTACATTTGGAATGTGTACATCTGCAAAAGTTACCTTTTAGGAGTACACTAGCATATAGATTTCTTCAACAGACATACAAAAACCACAAGCCCTTCATTTTGATATTATGAGGTCCTTAAAGTTCTTACATTGTTTCAGTGGACTGTGTCAGTTGATTGGCTCATAAAGTCATGTGATCTGTATTTTTGTTGGATTTACAGTAGTTTTGACTGCTAAACTAATGCAGTATTGATTCCAGCACCACATTATAACACAATCTGCACACTCAAAGATACTTATTAAATGGCTTCTAAATAACCAATATATTACCAAGTAAATTACTAAATTAATAAAACACAGAGATTAAAGAAAAACACATGTTTTCCACATAAAGACACACCTTTATTATCCGTAGTCCCTATAGACCTGGTGAGCTGGTGTGAGTGTGTTGGGGGCGGGGGTGTTGACAGCACCAATGAGGACATGGTTTGTTAAACATGTGATGAAAAGCGCAGCTTGAAGAGCCTGCAGACAGATGAAGGATACTGCTTTTTAGAAAGAAGCAGAGCAGATGAATACTGAAGGGCAAATATTGATATTCCTTTGTCACTTGTTCCCATTGTACATCTATAATGTCTTAAACTGAGCTCAAAAAGTATTTTACACCTACTAATATTTAAACAAAGGTATATTCAGTCTTTTTTTTTCTTATTAAAACATCTGACAGATACAGAAATGAATATAAGACTACTTATATTATTATAAAATACATTGAATGAGTCACATCATGTGGACCAACAGCAAAATCTACCAGACAGCATACTAAAACACCTCCCTAACCTCTTTCACATGGAAAATCCACAACCTGTAGATCAGAAATGTGTCTTCATCTGACTTGCAGATGTCACTGAAGTTATAACTTGTACAGCATGTGTTTTGTGAGTAATAGCAGAATTACTCAAAGGTTCCAGACAAACTGCCTTTGGTTTAATTAGCACTTGCTCTGTTTGTAATATCTGCTGATCAGTTGTTCGCACCTCCATCACTCATGTGTTCTCACTTCTGCACAAGTGCATAGAGAGGAAGTGAAAAAAAAAATGAAAGTGAGATCACTATTTATCCTGTTCTGAGACTTATCCCAGCCTAAATTCACTGAGGTACACTCTTAAAAATAAAGGTTCTTTATTGGCATCAATTGTTCCACGAAGAACCTTTAACATCTATGGAAACTTTCCGTTCCACAAAAGGTTCTTTATGGTGTAAGGTTCTTTATTAAAATGTCCTTCACACTGAAAACACTTTCAAGAACTCTTTACTGAAAGGTTCTTAGGGGAACCAAATAGAGACGTTTGACTCATACTCAGTATTTGAGAACATTGTGCCTAATGTGTGACAGTAATGTGTCATAGACCCACTTTCATTCCACTGCTTGAATGTCTGTGAATGTTAAGGATGCATTGTTTCTTGGTGTAGACATGATTTGCTCTCCTCTGTTGTAACAGCAGTTCAGAACAGCT